AGAGAGAGAAAGAGAGAGAGAGAGAGAGAGAGAGAGAGAGAGAGAGAGCTTAATTCTCTATTATAACTTTATAATTTCCAACATTTTGTTTCTTTGTCGTCAAGCTTTCATTGTTACTATAAGATAACCTATCAATCACAGCAATTATACTATTATATCGAGAGCATTCAGAAAACATGCAGTAAGTACCAAAGCAGTGGCGGCTACATACCGTGCTCGGTCGTATGCTATATATGCGTGTCTCATCTCGTTCTTAAATGCAAAACGTCGAATGACAGGCGACACGCTCTCGCGAGAAAATTTTACTCGTGAGGATATATTAACGCATCCGTCGAGAGACCAATGGGTCTATTATTGTGTTATTATTATTGTAATTATTGTAATTATTACAAAGTTATATGTACTAACCACGCGCTATTACGAAACCTACTACGAGATTTCAAAAGAGGAAAACGGCGATAGAGGGAGCAATGCGTCAGCAGTTTACGCGGTGGACATCTTGTTCCTTTTCACGCGTCGGTAACGTTCATTCGACAGAGATCTATTGTATCAATTGCGATGTAGATAGTAGCTTATGTCAGAGCGCAGGCAGAGCTCGTCGCATGAATTGTTTTCGCAACTTCGGAGAAAAAGTATGGCGACGTGGAAGAGTGAGAGGTTTGAGGAGGACGAGAATGCGGATGGTATCGACAGCAATTTCGATAGCATCCTGGTGACGCACGATTTACAGGACTGTCTGGATGAAACTTTGGACCTATCGAGCTTCGAGAAAGTCTACGAGCAGAGTGCGGTATTCGATTACGAGAGATACTCCGACGACGATGCTGCTATCAACGAGAGGCTACCCGATGACAACACGACCGGGTGAGATTTCTTCGTAAACTTTCTCGACTAATTATCTTGCCTTTTTCCATCTTCTTTCTCTGATCACACTCGGTTTATACGTCTCGTTTTAATGCATTTCGCGTTAAGATCAAGCAAATTGTACCGTCAATATTTCGTTTGCACGCTCGTCGGTATTCCCCGTCCCCTCCTTATAAGGCTATAACATGTTTTGAAACAAGAGCCTTAAAATTCCTGAATCATTTTTTAAAAAAATTGGAGCCCAAATAAGATACCAATTGATGTTTGCGTCACTGGTATGTTGTTGACTATTGTTGACGCGTTTCAATTGCTATATGACAATTTCGAGATAAGCTATAAGTCGTATACATATTGTGTATGTGTGTGCGCGCGTGCGTGTGTACAAAATTACAAAGTGCAATATAGTGTACTTCCTGTGTATTGTAAGTTAATATTTTTGCAGATAATAAACTATAAATTTTTATATATTTTATAAGACATTTTATTTTTATTATGAGGAAATAATAACAAAATAAAGTAAGAAGAATATTATTTTTTACATACATTGGGATTGTCATTTGGTGTTATTATTGATGTTCTTTTTTACATTTCCTTAGTAGATACACTGTTTATTACAAATTTAATTTTGATGATACCCACATACAGTAGTACAAGTTGAGCAAGTGTATTACTCATAGCTGCTAGTGCATACTTAATTTTAGTAGTAAAATTGGCATGTTTGTGCCTGTGTTCTATTTCATCTATATATGAAATTGCAAGATATATCAGAAATAATAAAGCAAATGTATCATATTGGCACATACTTTATATTGTATAAATCAAAGATAAATCAGTTAAAAAATTATTTAAATACATTTTTAAACTGACATATTTGAGAGAAAATATAATTTGAAGAATAATCTACTAATAAGGAATCAGACAAAGAAGAATCCACGTGGCTCAAACCTGGAAACCAAATCTAAATACTGATAAGGAATTTACAAATAAAGTATTATGTTTATTTATTCATAAGAGATGAGAAATGATAAACATCTTATTAAACAGCTAGACTGTATTAAAGGCTATAAAGTTATTTATCTGTGAGTCTAAACTTGTCAAAGAATGTCTTATTAACCACTAGCAATTAGCAACAAACAAAGTTACTTGATGATGACAGAACATGCGGGAATACAAATTAAATGACAGATAAAATGACCAAAACAAGAGGAAATAACGTTTGTTGAAACCTATATATCTTTCTAAAGTTATAGTAAAATAATGCTTAGACAACAGCGGGACAATGAAAAAACAAAGTATTGGAGTCTACTCCTTGTTACAATATGCTAAGAGTTTTATTAGCATAAAAATAAGAAAAAAATATCCTCAGTCTTACCAAAGGAGAGTTAATAGTGCTAACTATATTTTTAATAAGCCACTATTCCCTGAAATATCTCTTTGTATTAGATTGAAAAGGCTGATGATCTGATATGTTGACTTTAAGATAAAGAGGTCAAAACGGCAGAGCATATTTTGTAATTGTTTTGCAGCGGATATAATTATTTTGCCTATCGGCGCGGATTATTACGTTTCAAAAGGATGGTAAAATAATGACCTAATGAAATAAAGGGATTGTACTCTAGAGTTATCGTAAAGTTTATAAATAGCTTAAATTTAGTCTAAATACTGGCAAGGGAAACGTTAAAAAAAATCTTTTAGGTTGGAGTGATTTTCAAGCCTACTTCCTTCTATAATAATAATAATAATGTGTGTATTATAGATATGTTCATCACACGATCAGCCCACATGAAGTTTACATGCGAATACATCAAGGACAAGATGATACGTTACCTGAAGACCATGCAAATCCTCATGCAACTATCACGATTGAAAATATGGATCTAGATGGCAATCAAAAACATATCGATATAATTGGTAATCGATATAATTGCCAGTACGAAGGTTGCAGCAGAACATACAGTACCATCGGGAATTTGCGCACTCACATGAAAACGCATAAAGGTGAGATTTCAGATTAGTTTTGTATCAAATATGGATATATATTTTTGGTGATCTTTTAAAAACACGATAAAAAGTCGGGAAAGACTTTCATGACAAAATAAACTGTCTCTAATTGTGTATTTCTAATTATCTGAAATGTTACTATATAATTTCTTCTGAAAAACATTAGTAGTAAAAATGATTATGATGTATATTCTTGTAATTAATTTGCAGTTTATTTAATATTTTTAAGATTTTTCGTTTTGTTTGATGCATTCATTTTGGTAAAGAACTCTTTATTTCTTTTTATTGGCTGACTTATCCATAATCCTGTTTGGCCTATATCATTAAGAAAATCATCATGCTTTGCACGTTGTGCTTGTCCAATATATGCAATTTGTTCCATACGCAATACTAACACGTGCTCTTATGTTTGCATATTCAATGGATAGAAAGACACAGGTAAGTCTAATGAATCTTATTATAACATATCGATGTCGCTAGCAATAGAAAAAGTATACAAAATATGTACATGCTTATCTCGTTTACGCATTTACATATTACATATTTTCGGCGCTATCTCAAATTGATACTTATTAAGTCATCAATGCTAGTATAAAGGGAACGCTTCGACCTGCATGGCTTTCAGATACTGCAAGAAATAGGTAGCCCTGCAATCTTTTTATGTGGAGGGAATTCTCAAAACTTTCAGGCGAGTATCGATTTAAATGCGCGGAGCCGAGTTGCGGCAAGGCCTTTCTCACGTCCTACAGCCTAAAGATCCACGTTAGGGTACACACGAAAGTAAAACCGTTCGAGTGCAATCACAAAGGCTGCAAGAAAGCATTCAATACCCTTTACAGACTGAGAGCTCACCAAAGACTCCATAGTGGCAACACATTCAACTGCGAAGAGACTGGATGTGTTAAATTCTTCACTACTTTAAGCGATCTCAAGAAACATATACGTACTCATACTCAAGAAAGACCGTACAAGTATGTTCCCCGGTACTTTCTATGATATTTCACGAGAAAAATGAACGCGTTAGGTACAGGTCATTGTCTTGTAAACACATTAACTAAACAGAAACGAAATAAACGGGATCCTAAAACTCGGCTAATTCGCACTTAGACGCCATACCACATAAGATATTCAATAGCCCTAGAAATATTCAGAATTTGTCTTTGTTACCATCTTTTCATTTACTTTAAGGTGCAGAGAGAAGGGTTGCGGCAAAGCTTTTACGGTTTCGCACCATTTGAAAACGCACAAGAGGACGCATACAGGTGAACGACCGTATGTCTGTACTTTCGATAACTGCAAACGATGTTTCACTACTCCGCACAGTCTAAAAAGCCACATCAAGACGCATAATAAAACCGTGAACGAAACTGTAAGTATCGACAATATGAGAGTATTATTTAACATATTAATTATATAATTTTATGTTTTATCTTATGGTGTAGAAACAAAAAGATAGCGGAAGTGACGATACGACTGAGGAGCGAAACAAGCCGCCAACTCAATTAGAATTGAAACTCGTGAAAGTCAATGTGAGCGACACCGCTATACCGTCATACGCCATCGTGCCAATATCTTCGGATTTCGCGCAAAATAACGAAAACATGCCATATGCGGGAAATGTAGTGGCATCAGCTCCCACCGATGTAGCGCTAGACATAATGGATCATCGCAAGTTGGATGCGAAACTCGATTACATTTCTACCAAAGATATAGAAGACTCGAATAGAACCACCGAGGAAGTCACGCTTCTCGCGCCAGATATTTCTAGCCACTTCCTAGCTGATTTCAACGAACACGCGGTCGACGCTTTCAATAATAATGACAACTATAATGAATTTAAGGTATTCAATGAAATAACCGAATCGAATGCGCAACACGATAACCTGGCGGACATAGCTGGCCATCAGAATCATCCGCACGAATCTACTTCGTTGTCGGAAACGCGCGGTGATAGTATAGATAGAAAAAACCGACTTATCCCGTTAAATTTAGAACAGAAGATTATGCAGGATGGCTTGCAGAACGCGATAGCGCATATTTCTGAGGGAAAGGACTTTGCGAGTGATATAAAACAATTTAAAAACAAATCCACCGCCGCTCCCAACAATGTATTTGATGTAGACCGTACAAATGCGGGTAGCATAACTGACGACGGCAACGCGTTGTATAGTGCCAATTGTATTACTAGTCATATTCCCGATATTATAAGTTCTTCGAACGAAACTAACCTCTTCGACAGCGGAATAGAGGCTCTCTCCTTCATCAACGACGCGACTTTGCAGAACGAGTCTCTCGACGCAGTTTCGCACGATTTGTGCACAGACGTTATCACGAACACGCACTCGGAAGCAGTTGAGCTTGCAATTGCGACGGAAGAAGAGTTACCGTCACCTTGGATCGACGTGATGGCACTCGCGACTGCGCCCGCGTTGAGGACTCAATCTTGGTCAGAATTGAATGCCTTCCCAACTGCAGTTCATTCGTTGGTCGATTTAGTAGGCCCTGAGCCGTATCCGTTGGAGATAGAGGCTCAGTTATCGTCCACGGAAAATTTGAAGAATATCGATGCGGTGAATATAGAACATATCTCAGCGAACACCGAGGTGGTGCAGTGTCAGGAAGCTGCTGATTACGAGCAGAGGACAGATGACGTGAGAAGCAAGAAGGATAGGAATGTTCTGCAAGAAATTACGGCAGACGCTGATATATGCAAATGCGTCGATTGTAAGTGCGATAGCTTGCAGAATTGTCAAAATTGCACAAACAGCCCTGCCACCACCGCAGAAGTTACGAAGAAAGATACGACGCTAAAGATCGTAGAGGATTTCGTGTCTTCCTTACAAAATGGATGTTCCTGCAACGCCGATTCCGGCGGCTGTGGCTCTTGCTGTGTTGTAATCTGCTTAAAAACACTGCAGCAGCTACAAAAAGTATTTAGTCGCAATTGTTGCAAAAGCACTAGCAGCGCTACGTGCTGTAGAGAAAAGTTGTTGCCATCTTTGATGAAGTGTAAACTAGCCAGAAATCAATGAATCGTAAATTTTTCTTCACTAACTAGTCACGCAAAAATATAACGCTGTACGCACGTTAACGCTCGTAAAGATTTGTGATTTGTCATAGACTACATACTGATAGCTTTAACTGATAGCCTTGTGGGCAACTTTTGCCTTCCAAATGTTATATTTAGGACAAAGAATATATTCACAAGCGTGATCAGTTTTTTCAGCATAATGGTCCACACGATTTTTGAGACACTTCCGACAGTTTAAAGAAAATGTAAAATAAACATTTATCTGTTTCATGCAAACTGTCACTTGAAATAACAAACATTGAAAAAGAATTTTCATAAAAAATCAATGTCATCATGAATTTTTCAAATGCCACCGTGCAATTTTTTATAATATTGTAAGGGACTTTAAAACGAATTCAACGCTAAACGCTTATGCTGAACATTCTGTATCATATGAGAACATGACTGTACATACATGTGCTATATTTAATAGAATTTCAGGATGGATTATATATATATATATATATATATATATATATATATATATATATATATATATATATTGTGCCAAAAATTTGTAGATTTTTTTTACAAAGAGCGATTTATATATATACAAAATTTATAAATACAAAATTTACTGTTGCATAATTCGTAATAATAAACAACATAATCGCAATTTTTAAATATTTACATACAGACGTAATGAGAAGGAAGGTCGATAGGCAACAGTAAAAATGCAAGAGAAAAAATGTACAATATGCACAATTAATTTTGTATATAAGATATTTTGACGTAAACAAGTGTTTTATAATTATTATATCAAGTTTCATACTTGTGCAGCAAAACTAGATAGGTAGATTTTTTGATATTTGAGTCACAATTGTATATGCTGTATCTCTTTCATATATGGCTGGTTTGTATTATTGTTGCAAACTTGAAGTCTGTTTATGTTGCTTGCACTGCTTGTGTTTTTCGCACTTTTGCACTTAGAACAAAATAGGCACATATTCGGACGATAGAAGAAGCAAGAGCGAGGAAATCGAGTGCGAAAAATATAAGCAACATAAACAAACTATTGGTTTTTGGAGAAATTTATTGCAAAACTAGAAAGATTTGAAAATATGTACAGCATATATTAACGATAATTTTTTAATTATACTATATAAGTACCAAAAATTATATATATAAAAATTATATTTATATAGAGTTACATGTGATTAAAAATTTTATTTATTGTATAACTATCAAAATGAATGCGTTTGTTTTTTTAAAAACGGCGTTAACCCTAGGGATATTATGCTATATCCATTTTTATCTTTGCAATATCCATGAAAAGAAATACTTGTTAGTGCACACACCTAAAAAATAACTTGATATTCCATGGGTTGATGGAGAAGTGCCAATTAAATACAGAACATCTAAAGTATTCATAACGTTACAACAGTAACGCTTACTACATTTTAAGCTTTATTTAGAGTTCAGTGTTTGACGCAGCGTTATCATTATTAAAAGTAGATTGGAGAAATATTAATTTTTAACAATTTTTAGTGCGGAAATTCTTATGGCTGTTATAAGTACTTGCAAACTGCAATAAAATCAATGTACCTAAATAGCTTGTAAATGGCAGCGTATTTATTATGTTAATGAACAAATTAACTAACACTAATAAAGAATTTATGATAAAGATAGACTTTGTAACCTGTTTCTAGTATAATCAAATATGTAACTTAACATACTTTTATTATCATTATACTATTGTACAGCAATTATGACAAGAGTGTATTGAACACATGCCTCTCTCTAAACTGGTAATGTGGTGAAATTCATGTGTGTAATTTCATATTATTTTTAATAATTTATTGTGAAGCTTGCACAAGAGCTTCTGCAACTTCAACTGCAATAGCTGCTTCAGCTTTATCCTTTTCTGATGATGCTGATGAAAGTTGTTGCTGGGCTTTGCTAAGAACATCTCTTGCTGCTGCATTATCAAGATTTTCTACTGGATGAGCTTCTTCTGCTAGAATCTATAAAAAAATAATATTTCAGAGTCTATATTATTTTGAGCTCATCAGAAAACTAGAAACTTATAGAAGTACATACCTGCACGCTATTATCCTCATTTATGGTAACGGTACCAGATGACACAAAAATTTTCTTAGATGTCCCACTTTCCTCATAAACTGTAACCACTCCAGGCTTCAATACTGCCAATGTAGGTACATGTTTTGGTAAAATACCAAAGGAACCTGAGAAGGAAGGTACATCGACCTGACGAATTACAGCTTTGTCATAAAACACCTGATGTCAGAAAAAGAACAAATTAACTGAGCATCCATGTGTGTCTTACAATTATAATACTAATCATTAATTCCTACTTTATTGTTATTACCTGATTAGCACCAGCAAAAGTAAATTTCATTTGATCACTGGCAGCAGCATCTGCATAAGTCCTTTGACTGCGGATGTACCTCAAATAAGGGCGCAAAGTACGAGCGATCGTGGCCATTTCAAAGGTGATTTTGTACTGAAAATAATTAATTTCTTTCAGAAATATGTCTCCTTCGTGTTAACAGTGACATTGGCGAAACTATTACATCACAAGCGCGGAACACATATAACCCGGTCTTTCAATTCTCGATATTCGACTGTCTAGATAAGCACATCTGAATTCTTGCACCGTAATTTTTCGGACACAATAAAACTGTTATGCTCACCGTTTGCAATTATATGTAAATACGCTTAAAGCTCTGTAAATATCGTATTACTTCGATTTTTCGACAGAAACACCAGTGGTTTGTGGCTATCGACATACAGTCGATAACAAGGTGCGGATCGTGCTCGAAGATGTCGTTAGCGTCACGGTGTTACTGTCTTCATAGCGAATTCGATTGATGTGCACTCATTCGATATTAGCGGCTAATTATTAGCTAATTACGGCATTTATATCATGAAGTATTAAGCTTTGGCTACATTGGCAACAGCCATTAGATGTAAAAGTATCAAAAAAGCAAGCACACGTACAAACTTTAAATAAAGCGAGGAGTGCAACCATCAATCCCATTGGTTAATAATAGAAAGTGGCGGCTCGTAACGGAGACTTTGGAACTATTTCAGCCAATCAGAAATAACGAGTCTAATTTGCCCCTTATTTGCTGACCAATAGCGGCCTATGTTGAATGTTTCTCATGAGTTGGCCGTACTGACTGAAAACGAGTTGCGACACAACAAGTAACGTATTTCACAAATCGTATAACGATTTTTTGTATAGCGATTTGTATAGCGATTTCGGCTTGCCCAGGATGAGTTTCGTGCGTGGATCATCGCTGGAAGTGCCGAAAGTAAGTGTTACGCGTTCGTCGTGGCGAGATATCGTCAAATACGCACGGAATACGTCGCGGAACAAGTCGTTGTAAATTCGCGTGTTCTTGATGTTAATGGCAATCGAAAATACGAGAGCCGTGATTCGTTATCCCTCGCATCGCCTATCCGTCGAAGGAGAGTGATGTGCGCGAATATTGTCGGAAGTGCCAAAATAAGTCTCGCGTGTTCGTCGTGACGAAATATCGTCAAATACCTCGCATGGAATAGGTATATACGTCGCGGAACAAGTCGTTGTGAATTCGCGCATTCGTGATGTTAATGGCGGTTGAAAATGCGAGAGCCGTGATTCGTTACCCCTCGCATCGCCTATCCGTCGAAGGAGAGTGATGTGCGCGAATATTGTCGGAAGTGTCGAAATAAGTCGCGCGTTTGACGTAACGAAATATCGTCAAGTAAACACCTGGAGTGGTTATGTCGCGCAACAGACAGTCGGTAGTTTTGAGTATTGCGCGTTTATTGTGTGATAATGCGAGTTATCAATGCGTTGCGCGAGTATCGTTGAGAGTGCCGAAAGTAAATCTAGCGTGATCGTCGTGATGAGATATTGTCAAGTAAACGCTCGAAACGGGTATTGGCTCCTGCACACAGGACGCGGTAATGCTTGCCGCGCGGCGGAAGTCCGCGCGACAGCCAATCAATATGTTGTTTTCCCGTAAGAGCTAGAAGGTTATTACGGAAAACAACATATTAATTGGCTGTAGCACGAACTTCTGCCGCGCAGCAAACATTATCCTGTGTGCAGGAGCCATATGCGTGGAACGGGCAGTCGGGAATTCCGAGAAAAGTATCACGCGTTCCGCCCATCAATGTTTATCAGAAGTGAATATTTGAAGATCACGATGAAATATCCAGGAGCCAGGATGGCAGTATCAGTGTCAATAGGTCTGTTCTTTTCAGCTGCGTTGCTGCAATAAGTTAGAGTGAGATTAATACATTTTATTTCATTTTAACTTATTGCAGCTGAAAAAACAGACCAAGTGTGAGATGATCTGTTCTTTTCAGCTGCGTTGCTGCAATAAGTTAGAGTGAGATTAATACATTTTATTTCATTTTAACTTATTGCAGCTGAAAAAACAGACCAAGTGTGAGA